CCCCACCACTGAATAATGACTGGTTTCTTATTTTACAGATTTAATTTCTCTAAAATTCAATAAACAAGATGGTGTGTAAGCATTTTAAAATTGCTAAATTCACTAAACTACTAACACTGATCTGCTATACCCTTACAAATATGCATTCAGAGAGTTTCTTTTTTCAATGTTAATCGCTTTATTTCTTTCAAAGTTTCTTTGTTCACATGACTAATATAAACTATTAGTAGTAATCGAATTTTGAAGGGCTCAGCCGTACATACTTTTGGCGTTCCATTTTGCTTAAATCCTTTTTCAAAGTTGTTATCACTACGTACAAAAAAATATTACTACAAATCAATAATGTGATCTTTTTCTTAGGGTGACGATGTGCAGGTTTTTGATTGTCTACACGACTGTTGCAGTTCTTGGGGTGCTGATCAGTTCTACTGATGGATGGGGCAGGATCCGAGTACCAAGAATTAGAATACCGCCCATTAGAATAAGAATTCCCACCAATCCTAAAACTCCAGCTCCGGTCACTCAGGCTCCGACAACAAAGGCGCCTATCACAACACAGCCACCGACACAGCCGCCGACCACAACACAACCACCGACACAGCCGCCGACGCAGCCACCGACAACGAGTGCTCCTGTTGCTGTTGCTCCGACGACAATTGATCCCGAGTTAATTGATGAATGTGAAGACGCTTAAAAATTTGTTGTTTATCATTTTAAATATCAATAAATTTCTGTACTCGACAATAATAAACGGAAATAACTTTATGAAAACGATTGGTGACAAAATGCTGCTTCTTGCACTCTTAATAGATGACGATGACAGACAACCGAATAAAAATTACTCAACATAAACCCTCGTTAAAAAGGCGAATCCACGGAAGAAATATACAAAACTGTATGATATTGAGATCGATATGATATTAAATCGATACCGAGGGCCCGTTCCAACTTGCTTATGAAGTGCATTTAATTGCCTTCCGCCACGATCACTAGCTTTCTTGACAGCTTTCTGAAGACACAATACTGTCTTTCTAAAGACTTCTGATATGCGGCTATTGATTATTACACCTCGTATACCTAATTGCTCAAAAACTTTGTTTACGATTGTTGAAAGGACCGACTCTTGGTTCTCCATCTTCGTCTTTACATTGCCTTGAAATAGTATAGATTAGTAAGCTGAAACGAAAAATTAATCAGGGAAGTGTACGAAAAATCCAGCAAACAAGCTTAAAAAAGGCATTTATTTAGACTTCATACTTCAACGAGCTTCAAAAATCTTACTTGTTTATCTTGTAAGTAAACGATGGCAGATTAATTCCCGAAGCGCTTTCTGAGTTTCCCGATCCCTCTCCTACAGCTTTCACGCTTACAAAACAGGAAAAAATCAAAAGGAGGAAGATACAGCTGTTTTGAAACGCCATTTGACGAAGATAAATCAGCTTTTTGTTCGACACTTTAGATATCAAAACAAAGTAAATTTGTTCTTCTTTTTGATTCTGGCGGTACATTTTTAATTTGCACTCGCGTAAAACAGATATCGCCCGAGACCCTTCGCTCGGTCATGTTTTGATTAAAAACGCCTTGTTAATTTCACGCAACCGTTCGGAGAAAAGGTAAAAATGACGAGAGAAAAACTTTACCTTCAAGTTAGAAAATTAGCGAAATAGAAAGCCACAATATTATAGTTTAATATTTCAGAGGTACATTGAGTGCTTTTTCCGTAGAGAATCCGCGCGATGGTAAAACATTCGAAAATTACACTCGATTTGAGTGGGGTGTTGAAGTGGGCGTGGTCACTACATTTATGTTAAGACTATTTGTACCCCATGAGTTTGATATGATTCCTTTCTTTGTTTGTTAATAGAACATCCGTTCGTATATTTCTGTTTTTTCATTTGTTTAAACAATGACATGGTTTAAACAAATGGTTACTTTACCATGGAAGGTGGTCTCCAGAAACTTTCGCAAACTTGTGTCAATGAACTGAAAGCCCTTGCCTTGTTTACCCATAACATAATGTGTACCTACAGAGAATGCGTGTCATTTGCATATGACAATAAAATTCAAAACTGGAAATAATGAAATTAAGTTAGATAATTTCGTGGTCGAGTTCAGAAGTATTCTTTTTTTGACTGCAGAGGTTTTCAGTTTAACAGCTGCTTTTGCAAAGGTACGTAAAAACGGGTTTTTAAAATCCCTTCCGGCATCTACCTGAGAACATGGAGCTAAGCATTGGGTGCAAACGAATTAAATTTGTCCCAAATGACCCAGAATCCCTGCACTGTGGTAAGTGACTTAAGCCGCCGTGTCCTCTACCGATGCTGCACTCAAAACAATCAAGTCAGTTCTCGCTGGACTGGGTATGATGAAAGACAGGCACCCTGGTGGCTAAGCAACACTTTGAAAACCATTAGAGTTAAGATTGGCTGGTGCTTTTCCCCCAGTCTTGGGTGTAAATAGACGCAGAAAATTGCCAAGGAATTTGAGAAAGTGCTACGGGATCATTTGAGTATAGCATCTGGGAGAACGAGGTATACTCCGCGCTTCTGCTCTACGCGGCAGAAACAGGAAAACATTAGGCCATAAATGGACCACACTGCTCGTAGGACGCTTACAAGAATCGAACTAAACGAATTATGTTATAACCCCGTGCAAAACCGTATGCATTTTACGCGGTTTTCAATGAAGCTCGTCAGAGAAAAGGCACATCACTCTTCAAACTTTTCTAGTCATTATTCAATTTTTCTGATTCGTACGGGTGTAGAGTTAACGAGACAAATTAGGAGAGCTGAAAAATAACTCTTCTAGCAAGAAATACGTGTGTTGAAACGGAATAAAAAATTGAGTTCTATAAACCAATTAAAGAGCGATATATGCAACAACGAAGGTATTTAGAAAGCTAAGATGACGCAATATGCTAGTTAAAAAAATCGGAAGCAGCGCCTTAAGTGATCTTAGAATTTGTGGAATGAGACACTTTTTTAATCAATTTGTTACAGCTAATAAGTTGTGATAAGCGCCTGACAGGTGTTTGCCTAATTCAAAAACAGATTGTCAATATATGACAAAGATTAGCGGGCCTCTTGGGCTGAGGATGAAAAAGAAATACAAGAGATCCTGTAGGAAGGTACAACACTAAAGGGGTCATTGTCCTTAAAATGTGCTCTCACCTTCAGCGCCTTTTCCGATCCTTTTTATTCCTTTCGTCTTTCTACATTGGCATCGTTATTTCAAGCACTGCTTGGCTCTTTGAACACTTCATGTTCACATAGCTTAAACGAATCAAGTATATTAACTTAAACGTATCGCGATTTTCATGCAGATTAGCCGGTTGCTGTCATGGCTCGTTCTATTTCCTTCGTTCTCGTCGTGGCTGGATTCCTATCGATCCTGCTGGCTTCTGCAGAGACATCAGCTAAAGACGAAGGCAAATCAAAATTCAAGCGGATAGTTTGCAACAACAACAATAACAACAACAACAATAACAACAACAACAACAACAATAACAACAACAACAATAACAACAACAACAATAACAACAATTGGGGATTGGTAAAACGTGTGGTTTGTAACAACAATAACAACAACAATAACAACAACAACAATAACAACAACAACAATAACAACAATAACAATAACAACAACAACAATGGTTATGGACCGCTTCAGTTCATTTGCCCGCCAGGTAATATTAAACATACCTCTTTCTTTTCTTTTTGCGAGAAATCAAACCAGATTCCCTTATTTCTTAAACCGACTCAATAAATGATCACTTTATTTCAGTTGAGGAATCAAACTTTCAGCCCCTACTGACACTCACTCTGAAATTGAGCCCTTAACCCCTTTGCTCCCAAGATCTTATCAGTAATTCTCCTTACTGTCTGACATACAATTCTTATGATGTTAGTTCGGAGAATTTTGTATTGGATCAACTAATAATCACTTAAATGATATTTTTCTTTATTTTCATCACTTGTGTACTTGATATTGGAAGCACTTTGTGAGGAGAAATTCTGTCTTGGTCATTCATGGGAGTTTAAGGGTTAAAATCGGAGTCATGTTTAATTAAATCACGGCGGTATCCATCACCTGACAAATAATACCTGCTTCATTCAGTCACAACATTCGGATCATTTAAATACATTTTCCAGGAAAGTCCATCAGTGTGATCACTGCCTCGTACAATCCAGCAAGTGGTGATAGACTTTGGGCATTTGAGTGCAGGGACAATAGAGCGTGCAAGATCACAGAGTGGCCGAGTTATGTCACTTCTTTTCAAGTATCTTTTGAGTATGAGTGTCCTTACAATGGTTTCATAACGGGTACGAGAGAATTTTTAGTTCAAGCGCAATTTTCAGAGTGGTGAAAGTAGTCACACTTTGCCATGGTTTTGCCCTTACGAAACTCTCTGATTGGTCCAGAAAACTCCCGCCACGTTCTCAATCAATCAGAGTACAAAATTGTCTCCGATCGTCGCATTAAATAAGTATGCTGAGGTGATTATATGGTCATAAAGGGAAATAAAAATGCTTTTTGTCTCAGTTTTACTGATGAATCCCTTCATTTTCGTTTTCAATATTACTCGCCGGTAAATCCTACTTCGATGCCCAGTCACGATCTGTTCCCAAACAAAGCACCACCGGTTTGTCTAACCAGGATCGCCTTCAATTTCATTTCTCAAAACCGCAGTTCATATACATGATTTTAATATATTTACAATGATTGATTCATCACTTCATGAGTTTATTAAGAACTTACATAACTGTTAGCTCAGTTGGTAGAGCACTGCACTAGTATCACACAGGTCATGGGTTTAAATTCCGTACAGGCCTGAATTTTTTTCAGGCGTTCTTTTCGTTGCTGCCTAAGTACTGTTTATTGCTGCCAAGGTCGCTTTCAATTTAATTTCTTGTCCGTTTTGTTTACTGTTATTACAATCTTGATGCGTTTCTCATTTACTTTTAAGGTATTAGCAGCATTTACAATAACATTTACAAAGACCGCCGCTTCAAATTCCAGTGCTCTCATAACCCAAACTACACAAAAAAGAAATGCAAGTGGAGTGGGTATTTGAACGACCCTTACGGAATTTTGGTGTTTCGGAGCAAAAGAAGATTTTATTTGTCAGGAATCAAAAGTGATTTCCATTTCAAGTAAGTGAAAAGCTCTTAGCTATTTGAAACAGACTTAAGTGAAAGCTCAAAATAGGGAAAGACAAATGAGGGTAAGTTTCGATCATGCTAAGGAAAAAATATTCCCATCGGATGTTTGACTTGAAAAACTCAAATCTCTCCAATATACGCCCCCTTGAGAAAAGAAAGAGGTGACCATTTTAAAGGAGGGGTAGAGACCATGGGAAGAGGGGAGGGGGAATGCAATATGACCCGTTTGCCATTATTCATAAACCGCAGCGTCTGATGCCAGTGTGTTGGGTGTATGATGTTAATGTTTTAAACTATTTTGCATCTTCAGTTATCGCCGCTGGAAGGTGAAATGTTGCACACTGAAATACAAGAAGTCTAAGAAGAACTGATAAGCCATTGAAAGCCGGTCCAGTAAAAACACCGTGGATCATGAAAAGCTCAAGAATCATTACTTTACATGTGAACAAAACAGCTTGCAAAAAGTCACGTCACCTGACTTTTAGTTGATTACATCTAGAAAAACTACATTAAAGAATAGCGGATAGAGGAGTAATTTTGATAAACACAGAGAAAATACTTGTAGACCTTGGGTTACAGGACACAAGCGTAGTATTTCTATTAAATATCATTTGTAATCAACGAGGCTTTTCTAGATCCATTTGTGGTTGTAACTAGCAGAACTTAACAAAAAGTCGTCAATGGAGGCTAAACACTACAGTTCATACTTAAGTTATAGACCTTCAATTCTCGCCAGTTCAATCTATCATTTTAACACTTACTGTTCTGATCAGAAGAAATATAAATTATATCCTGTCTCAATGAAAAAACGTTTTCCGCTACACACGCACTCGATCAAGAGTCGTGCTTCGAGCTTTTTTAATCCGCTCTTTCTGTACTTTTCATTTGTTATTAGATAAATATGAGACCTTTTTAAAGTGAAAGGGTTATTTTGAGCTCGCACAAGAGAAAAAAAAAAAGGAAAAAAAACTTAAAGAAGATATTATGTAGATCTAGATGAACTGGTAAGTAATTGCAATGTTCTGCCTTGGTTATCCGCAACTAAGTCTTCTATCTTTAGTGTGTACATGTATTTCTCAGTATGTCCTTGATAGCGTGTCGGATGTCTCTCAT